CTGGCTGGCTCCTCCCTTGACCCGCTTTGCCTCCTGGACAGCTTTTCCTCCACTGTGCCTCTCTGCCATGGCGAGCTCCCCTGGGGTCAGGTGCCCATGGACTATACCCCTTAGCCAAAATAAGCCACAAGAATGAAGTGACTAAGAGCTTAAGATTCAAACCAGGACTCATCTGTTCCTCACCAACAGCAGCCACACGTAGCTCCTCACAGCCCATTGTGCCCCTGTGGTCACAAAGGACAACAAATTATCTTCCACCTCCAATTCCCTTTGAAATGAAGAAACTGTAAAGTAGCTAACACTCTGTCACCACTTCCTTCTTAGTATTATGTGCCTCTTTTATCTGCACAAATGACTTAATGACCTAACTGATCTCATTTTATAGAAGAGGAAAAGCTTTTGTAAAGAGGTGCAGAGTGTTTTGCGAGAGTTCCAGACAGAAGGGGCAGAGCAAGAATTCAATTCAAGTCACGCTGCCTCAAAATATCTGCTCTTGAATTCTGCTTCTCTGGAGTGACTTAGTAGAACTGGAACCACAATGATTTTTTTTTTTTTAAATTAGGATTTATAGATGTCTTTGAAAGCACAACTGCTTAGAAAAATCTTTGCATTTGTACTTCATGTTTATAGTTTATAAGAGGGACAAAATGATTCTGTCAAAGTCAGTAAGCAGAATTTCAGTTCACCTGAAAAATTCAGTTATTTTTACACTTTGCCCTCCATATTCAGTATTTGAGTCAGGAGGGTGGTTTGAAAGGGAGTTTTTAAACAGGCCTTAGAAAGATCACTATAATGCAAAATGATCTCATACTCTGCTTCAGTACTTATCATAATTTGATGACTTGTACAATTTAACTTTCATATAAAAAAGTTTGTCTTCATTGCTTCTAAGGCCCAAGGTATGTTTGTCATGGAAGAACATGTTTAATTTTCTCTTGTCTCATTGTTATTAATCAGTACATTAAGCTGTATAAATAAATGTTTGTCTCCACAGGAATGTTATGGATTGACTGGACCTCCCAGGTCCTCCCGTCCAAGGGAAGCATCTCCCTAATGGACGCCCTTCTCTCAAGCTGTGGGTCTGTGTTTTTGTTAAAGTGCACTGCAGGCCAGTAAGGTCAGACTTCACAGCTGATACCACAGCAGCACCTGCGACGGAAGCATAAGCCGACGCTGAGCCCTTCCTTTCAGAGCTGAGTTCTCAGAAAACCACAAGGTGGCGCCTTGTGCAGCCCATGTCAGTGCAGGTCAGCAACCACCACTGTGCAAGTGATAGAAAAAGAGGTCTGATTTTCAATTCAGATGGCACTGTTTACTAGCAGGACATCAGTTCATTTACCCAGCCCATTGAGCTTGGGTTAACTCTTAAGAAGGTAGCTTGAGTCACCCTACCAGAGGACGTTGGGACTTCCCACTGAGATCATTTTTACCAAAGGATACTATAGAATCTAATGGGATGGCCATATCAAGCTACTTTCACCTGTGAATGCCGTAACTGCAATGAGCGGTCACAGTAGCGACAAATGATTCAGAACACACCTGTACACAGGAGAACAAGTGTGCTCGTGGGCATGCAGGCCCATCCTAGCTTACCTGTCAGGTGGTAGTGCTCCTCGCTCTCATGGTCTGTGAGTGATACAAGCTCCTTCAGCAGCAGAGGGTACTTGAGCACTCTCTGAACTGGCTTGATAAGGTAAGACTCCAGGGTCGAGGAATGCTGCTTAGTGGGATTCCGGGCATCCAGAAAAGTCCTGAAAGCCTTATCGGTTTTAGCTACAAGTAATGAATAAAAGATCCTTAGAAGAGCACAGCTGTGTGTTATTATATTGTGTGTCATTTGTCTTAACAGTTGTTTTCAGCCACCCATTTCCATGGTCTTCCTAGTGCCACCCTTTAATAATTATCCAAGAACTTCAGTGGGCCCAGCACCCCGCTGTCGACCTGGGACTCAGCATCTAGATCTAATGAGTCCTGGGAATGAAGGGAGCTTATTAGGATACTAGAGAAGTACAGTCCACATGCCAGCGAGAACACCCAGCCCCATGTGGTAGTATCTGACTTTCATATATACTCACATACTATCAGGGGTGGCAAAAAAGTGAGTCTAAAACAGTCCTTAAAGCCAGAGATCAGTGTTAGGCAGACCCTTTGCCACACCCAACAAAGAGTCAGCACAGCAGAATGGCCAGTGCTTCTCCACTGGCCTCACTAGCACTGTTTGTGCTTATCTGGAATTGAAAAGCACTATCTTTCTTTCAAAATGAGGTAATACCTGAAGCCTTCTCTGCAGCTCCAAGCAGACTAAATTCTCACATGAGAACTGCAGCTCTTCTAGATGTGACATTAAAACCCTGCTGGCAGTGAGAACTGCCTTTCTTTCTGTTCAGTGCCTAATGGCCACAAAGGAGACACAGAAGAATCCAGGTCCATTTAGTGTTGGTGCCAGGGGCTGGGGAGACAGAATAAGTGCTCACCTGGCAAGCACAAGGGCCTGAGTTCAATCCCCAGTTCCGCAAAAAAAAAAATCTGAAACTGTTGAACAGTAGTGTAGGTGCCAGCAAACACACCAGCTGCCACTTTGGACTCAACCAGTTCACACTAATTGACCAGCTGTTTAGCGAGCAACCAGTCTGAGTGAAGATAATTTGAAGTTATGTGTCAAGAGCAAAATCTGTAGCATCCAGGACAGTGACAGCCGGCACACAGCAGGCTGCAACATGTGTGCCATAGGTTTGCTACCACAGATGTAGGAGATTCAGTACCATTTTATTTATTTTTACATCATTTTATTTATTTATTTATTTGGTACACAGTCTCGCTGCGCAGCTTATACTACTAATGATGTTTTCTCAGCCTCCCCAGTGCTGGGATTACAGGCCTGCGCCACCATACCCAGTTTTTTGGACAGACCTGGGCCTTTGGCCTTGCCAGGCAGGCGCTTAGACTACCAAGCTGTCTCTCCAGCCCATACGGTACCCTTTCAGAATATACCTGCCTAACCAAGTGAGTAATGAAATGATCCTTCATCTCATGACAAAAGAGGAATAAAGTATGCTCTCGCTGACTGTCTATGTGAGACAAAATGCCAGTGGAGTTAGACTTCTGTCTAAAGTGGCTACAGAAGATGGATTTTGCCTGGGTCTTACTAATCACAAGCATCCCACAGCTCCATTTTTTTGTAGATGGAGCTTCAAAGTAAATGAAACTGCCTTTAAACCAAATGGCAAAGCCACCTCTGTTGGAATGGTTAGACACTGCGTGTCAGGAAACATCTCCAGCCCTCCACAACAGTGGAAGAAGGACTCCTGAGAAGGGACCTCTGAAGAGGCAAGTCCTTCCTAAATCCACCGAAGAGACTTTAAGTTTGGCTAACCTTCTTGGGAATTTGATGGTGGTAGTTTGTCGTAGTTTCTGGGATTTAAGAACAGAATTGACAAAATGAGAACAGAAGATGGTATCACCTGTTTCTCTCCACTGCACACAGGGATTGCGGTTAGGTTTTAGAGAATGGAGTGAGTGAGAAAAAGCTCAAGTGCAGTGTCATGGCAGGATGATGCACGATGCTCTGAAGGACACTGTTCTCTGCTACCAGCGAACTGGAATAAACTGAAAATGTTCCCTTTAACTTGTCACTTCCGAGGTCAAGAAATGGAGCATAATCCACTAAAATTGCACCTACCCATACTGTTAAATATGGATTGCCCTTTATTAACAAGTAATACAAAAAGCACAACTACGAATGTTAAGCAACTCACCTCGCTCAAGAACCTTCTGTACTTTAATATGATTAGCACAGAATCCACTGTAGAGTTTAAAGTGGTCCGCATAATAGAGGAATGAGCCACCAAGGGAAAATAGCAACTTCTAGAACAGAATTAGAAAAGGTCAAATCAGACACAGTGTGCTCACTGTGTGAACCTGGTCCGCGGCCCCTCCTGTCAGATGCCACAGCAGCAATACTTTAGGGGTTGTGAAGTAAGCCCAAGACCATTGCAGCAGCCTGTGCCTCCCTCCAGTGGACCTTCAGCTTGATGGAAAAATTTCTTGGCAGCACAGCCTTCTGACCTGGTGTTCAGCCACAGGACAAAAAGTGCTAAGACACATACATCTGGCAGGGTGGGCTACAGACACCCAAGAGTGAACTATTAGACCCAAACTTGGGAAGAATGGTGCTCTTCATAAACTTCCTGGCCCTCTTTCCACTGCTTTCTGCCTTGTCGCTGGAGGGACTTCCTGTCAGCCATGGCACTAACTCAGCCACCTCCCAAAAGAGAACTTAGGCAGAACATCTGAAACCTATGCTCTGCCCTAGATCCCCAGATGTGAGGAAGGTGCTGTTGCTTCAGAAGTTATTGGCCTACACATTCTTCCAGAAAGGTAAATGAAAAAGTAC